GGAAATGATTCCTCCGTGTTGACCCTCCTCTTTATAGACTGGACACTGGCTCAAGTCCATCTGGTGGAGTCTCCTCAGCTTCCTTGATCAAGAGGCCAGATGACCCACCACCATTACAGGACATTTTGCGCGATGCTCATAGTCCCTGGGAACTAATCGACCCAGGAGGGCAAGGAGCAAAAAGTGTCCTTTGATTCCCTCTGACCCAATTAGTATAGATCTCAAGGTATGTCTGTTAAACATCCAAGAAGGTTAGTTCCACCATTCTGGCATTTTTAATTACTGTGTGCTTTGCAGATAAGTCTTGGGTAATGACCAGTTGGTCTCAAATAAACCTTATCTAGAGATATATTTCTTGATCTGTTGTCACATACCTTTTAAATGAGAGTTTGACATCATTTATTATTTATCATCTTTATGTAACTATCACTTGCCCCCTCTTGCTAATATACTCAGTAAAAATTTTCCTGATGCAACTTCTAAGCTTTCTATCTTTACCACCTGTTGGCTACACTCATTTCTTCTGCAAAGGCAGAAAGAAAGAACATAGTCGATTCATACTGAGTCACATGCTGAGTCTCTGTATTGTTGGGAATTTGGATGCGATTAATTAAACAAATTGAGACCTGTTTCTGTCTTAGATATAAACCATACTCATACCCTGTTTGATGAAGCAAGTTGTCTAGTTGCCTGGGAATGTCAACAGTCAGCCTGGGCAAGTGCCATGTGCCATGGGTGGCTTAATGAAAGACTTTTCAAGGCATGGATGTGTCCAGTGGATGTGATGGGTCAATATTTTTTACAATCCGTACTTTGGGAAGGGTTAGCAGTAAACTCAAGGCCTGGCCTAACCTCATCTCCTGCTTATGGAGGGCAAGGAATGTAGATGTTTTTAATCCAAAGCCTTAAAGAACTTGTGAGAGATGCTCACACAACTCCCCACTTTGGCAAAGGCCCTATACTATGGCAGTTTCCTAATATTCATGTATACATGAGAACTCTGAAATGCCCTCAGAAGCAAGTGCCTAGGACTCTTCAAACTCCCATGAGGAAGACTGGATTTATGTGTCAGATATGGTATTCTCTTGGAAGACCTGATACCACACTGAAAGTCAGTGCTGTGTCTTTTGAGAAAGCATGCTGCTTTCTTCAAGGCCACTGTCCTGAACTCATTTAGAGAGTGTAGGGCTCAGGTCATGTTAGAACATGCTCTTCCTAGGATGGCTCACAGGAAGAGAGGCTAGTCCTCAAGTAGGTATATGGTTATGTTAGGAACCTTGGATTATCTCCTTGGTTTCCTGCAAGAGTAAATGGCAGAATTGCCTTTTGTAGCATATTTAATTCCTTTCCTATACATTCTCTTACTTCTTGTCTTTTTTTAACCAAAGAGAAAATGCATATTGATTGTTATACCTTTTTAAAAGATATTTTATTTGTGTGTATAAGTGTATTGCCTGCATGCATATAAGGGCACCCATGTGTCCTGTGATGCCTGGGGAGGTCAGAAAAGGGTGTCATTACCCTAGAACTGGAGTTACAGATGGTTATTAGCCACCATGTGGGTGATGGGAATTGAACCTGGGTCCTCTGCAAGAGTAGACAGTGCTCTTAACTGCTGAACCATCTCTCCAGCCCCAGAATAGAGAAATTTTACTATCATTAATCCATTGTTTTTGGTGAAAAGTATTGCCTAGTAATTTCATTCAATCAATTGATGAGTGGCTCTGTGCATGACTCAGATATGTGATATGTTGCTAGAACGTAGTAATCATGAGGGTGATCAAGCAGAAACTTCAATATTCCTTTTGCTTCTGTGGCTCATGGAAGAGTAGGTGCCATGGAGTTTGAGGTGTTTGAACTGAGCCTTGAAACATGGATAGTTGAGAGATATCCAAAAGGAGAATAGTAGCTGGGCTGTGGTGGTGCGCGTCTTTAGTCCCAGCCCTCGGGAGGTAGACACAAGCTGATCTCTGTGAGGACGCCAGTCTGGTCTCCATAGCAAGTTCCAGGCCAGCTGGGGCTATAGGGAGACCATGTCTCAAAATTCTGTAGCACAGCACTCAGTAGATGCTTATAAATGTTGGTTGAATTAAATGGAGTATTTGTAATATTTAACGAATTATCTTTAAACATAATTTGTGCATGCTGTTCTAAAGTCTGTTTATGACATATGGTTATAAATAACAAATTACTATTTATTTTAGAAAAGTGATTTAAGAATTAATTAAGCCTAGTATTTGAAATGCTGTAGCTGACATTTGGATAGTACAAACCTCAAAATGTTTCATTGGTGTCAGAATCCATGAAAGTTTTTCAGATTCATGAGTGAAGGACTTCAAGTCGGTCATCTTAAGTCCCACGTGTACAGTCAAAGCATAATCTTGTTAACCAAGTGAGGAGCAAAGACAATACAAATACATTATAAAAATTTTGTCTTTTCTTGTTAACACCCAGGGACATAAAATATGGAGGAAATATTGTCACCATGCAGAAAGATTTCTTAAACAAACACGTAGCTGAAGCACTGAGTGACTTCTTTCTGATTCAGTTTCATAAATTGCTACAGGAAGAAGCACCCTCCAGTAGATAATACTCAGAAATCAGCACTTAATATGGCAGTAATGGTTATTGCTGTCATTCTTTACATCTTTAAAAATAATTAAGCATTACTGCACAGGCATTATAAAGTTCCCCTATCACCATTAAGAGGATATTTGAGGTTTGATGTCATTTAGCAAATTACATTATACAGTAGTTAAGATTTTTATGCAGTGAAGTGAAATGGGTAGCAGTTAAGCACACTTACCGTGTAATGCATTGTACAGAGTTACATGTTCCAGCTGCTGCCAGCTTTGTTCCAGTGTCATTATTGCTTTGCAGGCTGATGTTCCTCAGGGAGTGATTCGAGTGCAAGCTCCCCATCTTTCGAAAGTTTCCATGGCAATACAGCTAACTGAAGAACTAAAAGCCAGTGATGTACTTGCCAGGTTTCTCAGCCAAGAAAGGTAGAGGCCCATTTTAATTATTATGTGAGATAACGTACTTGTGTATTCTCTCCCTCTCTCCCTCCCGCCCTCCCTCCCTCCCTCCTCCTCTCTCTCTCTGGTGTGTGTGTGTGTGCGTGGGTGTGTGCGTGCGTGGGTGTGTGCGTGTGTGTGTGTGTGTGTGTGTGTGTAAGGTGCCTAAAATTTTTCTTTCCACTAAAAGAGAAGAACAGGCCTGACAATTAGACTGTTGAAAAGAGTGGTGTGAAGTCATTGAGATAGTTTGTGTTCAAACTGAACCTGTTGTTTCAGGCAGCATGTGTGAGCAGTCCTTCCCTATTCGCCAGCAATGGGCTTGGCAAATGAGACCATGCAATGGTCTTTCCAGAACATGTTGGTTGGAGGTTAATTAGTGTTTTTAGACTATTAGAATAATTACTAATTAGAATACAGAGAGATTAAAATGAAGACCCAACTTTTTCTATGAAATTTAATGAGTAGGGAAGAAATGTTCTAATTTAAAAACAAAGCCTGAATGACTGAGGAGGGGTACAGTAAGCTGTGAAGTCACAGGGGGAGAACAAACTGTCCTCCTTAGGGACAACCAAGTCCTTTATCTTGGACAGATATGGCCAAGCCCTTAGAAAGCTGCAGGCCTTTCCCACTGTACACATAACGGTTTATGTGCGTTCCCATTCATCCTGTCAGCAGTTGGACAGGACCTAAGAAGCTCATGGGGTTTTTAGCTTTTAGCCTTTAAATATCATAATTTTGGCTAATGTCGGGTTTAATGACTTTCCCCCTATTTGTACTTTGAAATAAACTAAAATTCTTTTTAAATTAAAAAAAAATGTTATTTTTATTTTATGTTTTGCTTGTGTATGCAACGCCCTCAGAATCCAGAAGAGATGTAGGGTCCCCTGGAGCTGGAGTTACAGATAGTTGTCAGTCACCATGTGAGTCTGGAACTGAACCTCGGTCTTCTGCAAGAGCAGTCAGTCTCTATCTGGAGTTACAGATAGTTGTTAGTCACCATGTGAGTCTGGAACTGAACCTAGGTCTTCTGCAAGAGCAGTCAGTCTCTATCTGGAGTTACAGATAGTTGTCAGTCACCATGTGAGTCTGGAACTGAACCTCGGTCTTCTGCAAGAGCAGTCAGTCTCTATCTGGAGTTACAGATAGTTGTTAGTCACCATGTGAGTCTGGAACTGAACCTAGGTCTTCTGCAAGAGCAGTCAGTGCTCTTAACTGTTGACCCATTTCTTCAGCCCCTCTTTTATAATTAAAAAAATATTTATTAGTGTGCTTATGATCTCTCTCTCTCTCTCTCTCTCTGTATGTGTGTGTCTGTGCACGCATGTGCATGCATAATGTATGTCACAAGCAAATATGCCACATTCCAAGTGTGGAGGTCAGAGGACAATTATGGAATCAGTTCTATCCATCCATCTTTACATTGTTTCCAAGAATTGAACTCAGGTTGTCAGACTTGTGCAGCAAGCACCTTTACCTACTAAGTCATCTCAGTGGTCCTAAGTTAAAATTCTTAAGGGAAACCCAGGGCATTAACATCTCAGGTTACAAAAACTCTATTTTGGGAGCTGGATAGATAGCTCAGCAGTTAAGAACACTGGCTGCTTTTGCAGAGGACCTGGGTTCAGTTCCCAGTACCTACATGGCAGCTAACAACAGTTCATAACTCCAGTTCCAGGGGATTCAATGCCCTCTTCTAAACTCTGTAGGCATTGCACGACATGTAGTGCACACTTACATACATGCAGGCAATAAACTCATACACATAAAAATAATAAATAAAATATTAAAAAATTCTACTTTTACCTTTCATTAAAGTTAATGTCATTCTAATCCTGGAAAGCTTCAGTCAAGTTTTCTGCTAATGCTTCTCTAGTGTCAATACCCTCAAGGTAGTAATATGTGTCTGCTCTGCCTTAGACCCTGTGTTAGGTATTAGGAGGAATAGAATCCTTACAGAACCTCTCCCCAGGCTTATAAGTTGGGAGAGGGGATGCATCTTTACAGCTTGCAGATAGTGGCTAATTGTAAACGAGGTTTCCTGGTAATATCTCCGTTCCCAGCAAGCTGACATAAACTTCTTTGCAGGCATACTCTGAAGTAAACACCTTCATTCTTTCTTTTTTACAGTTAAGAGGTCAGCCAGTAAACATCTTTCCCCTTGGTCTCATAGCAGAAATTCTGAACTCATGTTTCTGTTCACATAGGCAGCCCCTAACCCCTCTTCATATCAGCTCCTGGGAGCTGTGTCTGTATAATCCTGGCTGATCTAGAACTTGATATATAGACCAGGGTGGCCTTGAACTCACAGAGTTCTGTCTCCTGAGGACAGGAATTAAAGGCATGTACCACTACACCCAGCTTAAAAGCAGATCTTTAAGGGTTGAGCTGAATCTCAGTGGCAGAGCACTTACCTAGTACAAATGAGGCTTGATCCCTAGCACCACAGCATAAATAAATAAATTAATTAAAAGAAGATGTTTAAGCTTCCTCCCAGAGCTGTTAAAGTTTGGCTCTAAATTTTTAGCAGGTTTCCAAAGTAATTCTTTCACAATATTTTTTATAAAGCCACTAAATCTTACCAATTGTATTTGAACCTAATATTTTAGAAGTTTATTATGTTTTGTAAATGGAACATAAAAACAAAAATTGTACATAATTATGGAATAATGTGAGATGCTTCCATACATGACATGTGCACACTATGGTAAATATATCTGTCAACTCAACAGCCACTTTATTATGGTGAAATTTAAGAGAAAAATGTGAATGTATAAACACAACATTCTGAGTCAAATCAAGTCTCGGAGTTGAGTATTTGCTTCTGCACTGTGGGAGTGGGTGCACCTCCCAAATTTGAACAGCCAACTTGGGGCGGTCCATGAGTCATGCCTCAATAGCTGGCATTCATCCTGACAAATGAAGCTTGTCAGCACAGCAGCCCTATGACGAATACTTACTCAGTAAGTGCAAGGAGAAAACCAAGCTGGAAACTTCGCCCCTGTGCACAGTAGACAACCATATCAGTAATCTCCTTGGCAGGTAAATGTATATTAACTTTACTTTTTAGTTTTTATCAATTTAGATACTGGTTTATTCTTCAGATATATGAGTCCACTTCATTTGCAGGTGTGACATTTTTATTAACCGTTCATCACATTTAACAGATGGGAAAGTATAAATGTGTAGATAATTACAGTGTGTCTAAGTTATGAATTTTCTATGCTAGCTGGAATTCCCTTGGCCCGTTAAAGTGATTTAGTCGCAAGCTGTTTGATGATGCAACTAATCAGTTTGTTTTGTCGTTAATAGTGGGGTTGCCCAGACTCTCAAGAAAGGGGAAGTTTTTTTGTATGAAATCGGAGGAAATATTGGTAAGCACAATTTCATTCTATATGCTTTTTTTCACATTGTCAATGTAGTTGTTATTATTTATATCTTTGGAAGGGAAAAAACAACGGAGGCAGAAGTAAATATAATGTTTTAGACAGTTGTTGAACATTTTGATTTGTTCAGTGGTCTGACCTTTCTTCAGGCTCTTCTTGAACTTCTGTTCAAATGGTCATCTAAATATCTGACTTTTTCATTTTACTGTTAGATCTCAGGAATTAGTATGGTTTCTTGGATAAATTCAAAACTACTGTAATACTTAATAAAGGTGAAGAAGATTTTAAGGAAGCATTTAAAAGCATCACACAAAGTATTTCCAGCTTCCTAATGTAATTTAAACCTACTTACTTAGAGAACAACTACTAAACTGACTTTTTCGGTTGCATGGTCAGTTCTTTGAATATCATCATAAGAAACCGTGAAGGATGGGAAGTACCTTGAAATCTACAATTTTAAACCACGGAGCTTCATTTTAAAGTTAGATCGCCACTCTACTCACCCACTGCTTTTCATTGATACCACATCTCCTTTGCAGGGGAGCGCTGCCTAGATGACTGCACCTACATGAAGGACTTGCACCAGCTGAACCCAAATGCTGAGTGGGTCATAAAGCCCAAACCGGTGTAGAAGACAAACGCTCCCGCTAACCAGAGGACTAATATCATCATTCTTGCTGGGTCAAGAGTGTAAATAAAGAGACAGCAGTTTCCTTATTATTCAACTGTACCCAATTATTATGAAGTGACACCCTCAAGCCTTAAAAAATTACAGATTTGTCTGGCTGCCAGAATTGCTAATTAATATTATTAGAAAACAAGTATTTCTGGAGAGAGAAAAAAAGTGGCTTAATTAGCTTGTGGGCTA